ATCACCTGTCTCCTACTTTTTTGCAAGTTCCATGCAGGTACTATTCACGTGCCAATTTGAAAGATGAAGAAACTGAAGCTCAAAGTTATGAGCAGTCAGTAAATGACAGTATTGAGATTCAAACACTTCATTCTTTGACTAATTCTGTTAATATTTATTAGGGGCTTACTATGTGCCTCTCTGCCAGGGGCTGGGAGCACACACACAAAAATGGACAAGATAATCTTGGCCTTCAAGCAATGTCCAATCCAATTAGGGAGACAAAAACTTCAACCAATAACTTACAGAGTGGAAAATGCTGTGATAGAGAGAGAGATAGGTCCATGATATTGTAGGACTAAGTAGGAGGGACACTGGTTCAGCTTGGGGTGCATCGAGGAGGACTTCTTGGAGGAGGTGATGGGTTGAAGTTTAAAGGGTGCTAGTACAAGATCATGGCAAAAGATATTCTGGACAGGAGGGACAGCCTGACTTGGCCTGAAGGAGGAAGAGTCGGGGCTGTCTGATGAACCACAAACACTTCTGCATTCTTGGTGCCTGAAGCCTTGGCATAGACAGGTGGAAGATGAGGCTGCAGATGGCAGCCACAACTGATAAGGACCTGGGGCTTCCTGTGGGTGTCTTGGAAAATTATCTACACCAGGTACTCTCCTAGAAACAGCTGATCTGCTCATGGGTGTGGTGGGACTGGGAGGAGTGGGAGTGCTGGGGGGAGCCCGTGGAGTTGTTTTTCTGCCCCCAGCTGCATGGCCACCTCCAGCTGGCGGGTCCCCCTAGGGGGGTAGGGAACCGTTTCACAACCCTCCTCCCATCCCCCAGTGGCCCCGCTAGGCAAGAAAAGAGGAAGCGTTTAGAGGACTTCCTCCTGGGTCTCGGTGCACCCAAGCCCAGGCAGGTCCTCTGAGGGGCGGGGGCGGGGCGCATCCGGGCCTGGGAACTCCGAGAATGGGTTGGCTTCCTAGCAATTCCAATTTTCCTTCTGTTTCATCTTGAACTAGAAGACCTGTCCTACTCAGCAATTTAGAACTGAGACAATGTGCATGAATTAACACAGAAAGATCCTCCAAACATATTTACAGTATAGTATACAGAGTACATTCATTAAAAAAAATACCGCGGATTTGTATTCACTTGCATACGTATGTAAATACATAGAGAAAGGTCTGGAGACTACACAGCTGACAAGACCAGAGGTTGTTACTGAAGGAGAGGGACGTTGGGACCAGACAGAAAGACCTTTTCTCTATTTAAAAAAATTGTTTTTTTCTGTTTTCAAACTAGACTTTTTATTTGTGTAATTAAAATAATAACAAACGAGAGCATTAGTACGAATGGTTGAGGGTCCTTTTCCCCAAACACTTTCTTATGAAACCTTCCAAACATACAGAAAAATTGAAAGATTTTTACAATAAAACCCCTTTACTCACAACTACATTCTACCATTAACATTCTACTTACTTTATCACGTCTATCCAGCTTGTCCATCAAACCATCTTTTTAAAATGTACTTAAAAGTAGATTACTTAAAAAAAAAAAAGTAGATTACTTCAGCTTACATATTAACCAGAGTGCAATGTTTGTTTACAGTACGTTTAATGTAAAATTTACATTAAAGCAAAGTGTGTAAGATTAAGTGTTCGTTTACTGAATTTTTACAAATGCACATACATCTGTGTAACTTCAACCCTATTAAGATATACATTTCCATCCAGAAAGTTCCCTTTTGTCCTACACTGTATTTTAATTGCCAACAATCTATGAGTCAGCATTCAGTACAGGGCGAGGTATATAGTAAGTGCTCAGTAACTGGCCTGCTCTCCTGAGGGTGGGACCATGTCTTTTTCTTTTGCATTCTCCACAGAATTGATACACAGTAAATGATTACTGATTGTATTTGTTATACACTGCTTTGTAACAAATTACTCAAAACTGAGCAGCTTAACATTATAAACAGTTTCTGTGGGTCAGGAATCTAGGACCCAGTTTAGCTCAGTGGTTCTGGCTGGCAGTCTCTCACAAGCCTGCAGTCAAGGTCAGCCAGGTCTGCATTCATCTGAAGGACTGACTGGGCCTGAGGATCCATTTCCAAGATGACTCACTCACATGACTGTTGGCTGGAGGTCCCAGTTGCTCCCCATGTGAACCTCTCCATAAGGCCGCCTGAGTGTGCTCATGACTCGGTGGCTGGCTTCCCCCTGAGCGAGTGATCTAGGAGAGCAAGGTGAAACATCACACTGGCCACACAGGTCATCCCTAGTCCACATGGGAACAGTCTACGCAAGTGCAGGAATACCTGGAGGGGTGATTTATTGGGGTCTTCTCAGAGAAGGTAATCATCAAGAATGTGTATTCAAATCTTCTGAGCACTTGCTTTGTGCTGGGTGCTGTGTGGGGCTGAGGGAGTATAGGAATGAGTCAGAACCAGCTATTCCCCTTCCCCTTGAAACATTTGTTTGTGTGTGTTAGGGGTGGAGGTGAGGGGATCTGACATGAAATCAGATGGTGTTAATAGAGTACAATAAATATCACGATAGTGATTTTTTTTAAATTGCTTTTCTGCAATTCCTATTTGTGGCACAACATGTAACATACATCATGAAAAGAAAGTTTCCTTCCCTCCTTATTATACAGCCATATGCCCCTTCTGCTCAGAGGCAACAACTATGATCTGTTTTGTATATCTTTTCAGAAAACGATTCCAGGTATATATACAAAGACATCCCCCACTTTAAAGAAAAAGACAACACAATGCAAAATACATTTTTCTTCATCTTGCTTCTCACTCCCACCCTACTTTATCTCAGAAATAATTCCACATTGGTACGTGGGGAGCTACTTAGTCCTTATTTATGGCTGCATGGTGTTCTATTGTCTGTGTCAGCCACAGTTTAAGTAGTTCCCTATCACTGAACATTTGACTTATTTCTAATTGCTTCTTATTAGAAAAGAAGCTGCAATGATTTTTCCTTGCACATCTATCCTTTCCACTTGTGTGAGTATAAATGTAGGAGAAATTTCTGGCAGTGGAATTGTTGCATTAAAGGGTCCATGCATTTAAAATACTGTTAAATAGGTTTATACCAATTTACTCTTCCACCCACAATATGTGAGAGTGTCTGTTTCCTCACACTACATCTACGTTGTAGATTAACAAACTTTCCAACTGCCAATCTGGTAATTGAAAAATGGTTTCTCAATGTCGTATTCATTTGCATTTCTCTTATTATGAGTGAGGGTGAACATCTTGTCTCAGTCATTTGTATTTTCTGTGAACTGTACAAATAATTTGCCTATTTTTCTATGGGGCTGTGGCTCATTATTTATTTGAATGCCTTCTTTACACCTGGTCCTGTCCCAGCCCCCAGCCCCCAGGATCTCCTCTCTAAGCAGCTGGATTCACTTCAATGAAATTCAAGCCTATTAGGTCTCTCCTCATTGCCTGCACTTCCTAATCTGCCCTTCAAGGGCCTTCTCAATCTGCCCACTTCTCTGGTTTCCTCTCTTACAAATCCTGCCCCGCCCTACCTCACACCCTGTAATCCTCTAGCAGTAATAATGGTCACATTTATTGAGCACTTACTATATGTACTCTTATAGGGATTATCTTCTTTAGGCCTTGAAATAACCTATGAGATCTATGAGGGTGATGCTATTTAAAGATGAAGAAACCAAGACCCAGAGACATTTAGGGGCTTACCCAAGGTCACCCAAGTAGCAGATGACAGAGCTGGGATTCAAAACTCACAGTCTGACCCCAGGGCCAGAAAACCTCACCACTACACAAGTGCTAACTGGTTAACAGTCTTCGAGTGTGCCAAGCTCCTTCCAGCTCCCGTGCCTTTGCTTATGCTGGCCCTGCCTGGAAGGTTCTCCTTTGTCTACCTGCCAAAAATCTTCCTCATCCTTCAACAAAGTTTCACTCATATGTAACCTCCTCTATGAAGCCTTTCTCATCTTCCCCGGAAAGAGCTAGTTTCTCACTCTGGTTTTATAGTTGAGAACTTTGCACTATGATTATTTGGGGACTGGTCTTCCCCATTATCTGGGAGCCTCCCAGAAGGCCGGGATTGTTCTGTATCTCCCTCTAGTGTCTAGCACATGCCTGACACAGGGTGGGTGCTCCCTAAGCATTTGGTGACCGAGTGGCAGTGGCTCTAGGACTCCTCTTCAACATGCATTTGTGATGGACTGCTAGACATTTCTACTGGGAAGCTGGCAGTAGGAAGAAGCTGGGCCCCAAATGGGTAGGGCCTCAGGGTAAGGGGCAGCTGGAGACCAGTTCACTAACTACACCACTTGTTCCTGGGACTGTCCCCAAGGGATCCAGCTGGTAGGGAAGTTCCACCCTTACACCACCCCTAGAGGTCTTTGGGAATCAGCTGTCCTACCCCAAGGGGGTTTTCCCCTCTTGCAGTGCCAGGAATGGAACCATGATGGGAAGTAACCCTGGTAGGAGGAAGTGTGGCCAGAGCCCCCATGCTCAGAGCCTGGACCACCCCAGCCAGGGGCCTTTGTATCTCAGAAACCAAGGGGTTACATGGCTTTGGTAAGAGGGTAGTTCCGGGGTGGAGGGGGGGACTTCCTCGGAGTGTGAGGGAAATTGCTCCATCCCTGGAGCAGTGTGGCAAGAACTGTCCCAGTGCTGCTCAGCAGCCCCGTCACTGTGCCCTGGTTAGGACTGTGGGCAATTTTTGAGCTTGACCCTCTTGCGAAGCCTTCAAGGTCTTTAAGAGGGACCTCTATGTCTCTGGCCTCTACCAGCCAACTGACTCCTCTCTCTGTGGCTGCCTTACTCGGGAAGTTACTAAGGCTCTCATCACCTCCGTCTGCAGTCAGTCACCACATCCCAGCGGCTGGTAGGATAGTAGAGCAGTGAGGAGCATGGGCTCTGGGGTTGGCCTCTTACGGGTCCCAGTCCCAGCTCACCGTGGGACCCTGGCCCATTGACTTCACCTCTTTGACCTCCAGTTTCCCTCACCCATAAAAAAATATATATTTGAAACCATTAACTAAGGATTTGTTTATTGGAACAACTTTGTTCAAAGGAAAGCAACCAGTGGTTCTCACCGTGTGGTTCCTGGACCATCAGCTTCACTTGAGTACTTGTTAGAAATGCAAATTCTTGGGCCCCACCTCTGCTCCACTGAGTCAGAAACTCTGGCGTGGGACTCTACAGTCTGTTTCAGCAAGCTTTGCAGGAGATTCTGATGCAGTTCAAGTCTGAGACCCACTGCCACAGATAAACCTAACAGATGGGCAATGTACTGGGAGAAGATATTTGGAACACCAACATCCAACAAAGGATTAATATCTAAAATATATAAACTACTCCTGCAAACCAGTAAGAAAAACACAGGACACCCAACTGACACTGTGCAAAAGACATGAACATGCAGTTCACTGAAGGGGAAGTTCAAAGGCCCGGCAAGGATAGGAGGTTCTGCATCTCAGGATTATAGAGAAATGCAAGTTAAAATAGCAAGGTGCCACCTTACACCTAAACTGTAGGCAAAAATTACAAAGTAAAATAATGAAGGGGAGACAGCATCCTTCACTTGCTGCTAGAGGAATTTAGTGAGATTTAAAACATGTATGTCTTCTGATCTAATAACTCCACTTTTGAGTAAAGAGTCCAAAGAAATTTTCATGTAGGTCCATAAGAGTAATGTACAAAGGTGTTCATCACAATATTGTTTGTGGTAAGAAGGAATTGGAAGCAACCTAGGTGTCCATCACTGGGGGAATGAATAAATAAAACAATGATGCTCATCTTGGAATATCTTGCAGGAGTTCAATAAGCTAGATTTTCTCATGGCAACATGGGTCAAAAACCACACTATGGGGTGGAAGAAGAAAGCAACAGAATGAGATCCTTACACAATACCATTTACACCATGTAAACACATACACAAAACACTGTGTATTTTATGTCTAGGGACATATATCAACACATGGTGGGGCGGTACCTCTATGTGGGGAAGGGAAGGAATGTGGGGAATATATGGATGGAAAGGGGGAAATACAACGTTGGAGGGGCCTTGCATGGACCAGTTATGATGGGATGGCCATTTGCCACAGGGTATGAATCTTGAAACTCCCTGGACCCGAAGCCCTAATAATAGTGATAATATTACTTAAAAATTGGTGATAATAGTACCTACCGCATGGTAAGTACCATGTGTCTAGCCATGGAAGGCTCAGCAAAGTTTTCCAAGTACAATTTAGCTCTTTTATGTGAGTATCTGGCCTCTTCTCAGACCTCATTCCTTTTAGCCTCCAAGGCTTTCCGCAGGCTGTGTTGGGCGCTGTCCTTCCGTTGACTTCCTAACCCTGCCTTCAGATGTCTTCTACTACCCCAGACCCCCTCAGTGGCTGGCTGTGGAGTCTTGGGTACTTTTCATTTGGGGCTTGAGCACAGAGCCAGGCTGTAATAGATCTGTGAGTGGCAAGTCCTATTTCCTCTTTACCAACTGAGGTCCCTGAGGGTCTTCTTACATTCTATCTCCACCCCCTACCAATTCCCACCCCATTGCACCCAGGCAAGACAGGGAAATCGAGTCAGAAAATGTTGTATGTGGAAGGGAGCAGAGTTTACTGAGTGCCTATCACATGCTGGACTCAGCACTAAGGCCCTGACCTTTGTTAGTCCCCACCACCACCATGAGGTGGGTGAGGCCCACCCCAACTGACACATTAGGCAGTGGGAGACACAAGAGGAGCCGGGACACCGGCCAGCCAGGAGCCCTATGACTCCCTGGCTCCAGGTGCAGGATCTGAATAAGTAACTTGCTCGAAAGTCTTAGGATCAGGACTAGGGCCTACTTAGAGCCTTAAGAAGACCCTCTATTTAGTATGGTCAGTTTGAGGTAATATCTAAGGAGAATCTGGAGATTCCCTTAGGTTCCCTCCCGCCTTCTGAACCTGTTTCTCAAACCGTAAAACAGGAGTAGCAGGTATCTCTGGGCATTCATTTCTCAGTCTACCAGCAGGTGGAGCCCACTCCCCACCCGGCCTTCCACCTGCAGAACGCTGCGGAGTCACGAGGAGGCCTGTGTGACCTAGGGCCCCGCCGAGAGTCCCGGGGCAGCTGCCCAGGACTTTAGGGTGCCGCCCCCTGCAGGGCACCCTCACTACTGTAAGGACCAGAGTCCCAGGCAGGGACGCAAACCCCCTGGAGTGTTGGCCCCCGTGGGGCTGTGAGAAGAGGTCTGGGGATGGGGTCCCACCAGCAAGATCGAGCGAGACTCAGAGGCGGGTTATAGAGACACCCCCCTTCTCCGCCCTCCGCATAGGCGGCAGCTACAGGTAGTTGTCCTCGGCTGCATCCCCCCCACTAGGGGAGCCCTGGGCCTCTGGGTCCGTGCTGTCGTCATCGTCGTCGGGGGCCAGCGCCTCGATGTCGTGAGTGATGTCGTTCAGCAGCCGGTGGAAGGCCTGCGCCTCAGGTCGCTGAGCAGCACCGTCGTAGCTGCGCACAGCCGAAGCGGACGTAGAGCTCATGCTGCGCTTGATGCGGCCGAAGCTGTCGGTGAGAATGCCTCCCTCGCGGATGCCCACGCCCTCCAGGAAGCCCTCAAAGTAGCCAATGTCCTGGTCGGGGATGAAGGGCCGCATCCCTACGGGCGGGGGATGGGGGTGGCGGCAGGGTGACTTCCTCAGGTTCAGCCCTGACCTCAGAGGAATCATCTTCTCTGGAGAGCTGAGTTCAAATCCTTAACTCTCTGAGCCAGAGAATGTTTTCAGCACACAGTAAATGTTCACTGTGTGTCAGCTTATTAATATTACTTCAATTGTTATATTCCCATTTACTACTTGTGTGACCCTCTTTAAATAACCATTCTGAGCCTTACTTTCCTTGCCTCTAAAACGGAGAAAACCGCCGCTATTCTGGTAGGAATGAGAGGATTAAATTGGGTACTTAGCACACACTGAGTGCCCCATAAAAGTTAGATTGCTTTACTTCTGTTGCCACTTACTGCCTATGGGACTTAAGTACTCTGCATCTCTGAGCCTCAGTTTCCTCATCTGCAAAAAACGGTGGCAAATAATAGTTTCTACTTCCCCAAACTAAGGGTATTCAATGAGACAATGCTCCGCACAGGGTAACTGCCAAATGCATGCTAGCTTATTAACATTATCATTCCTGCTGTTATTAGTCATCCTTACCAGTTGTGTGATCTTGGGCAAGTTCCTTAGCCTCTCTGAGCCTCAGCTTCCTCAGGGGGTAAAATGGGAAGAATCATTCCCTCTCCCAGCTCTACTTTGAAAATGAAAATGTCCATACCAGTGCTCTGTTCTTATGGGCTCTGTAACTGCAGGCAAGTCCCTTCCCTTCTCTGCACCTCAGTCTCTCTTCTGCTCTGTGATCTCATGATCATGGCTTTATTGGAGGCTGAGGGACAAGGGGTAAATGCTCACAGCCTGGCACCTGATTGGGAATGTCATGGGCCGTGGGAGGCCTTGGTGCCCTTGGGGCTGGGTGGGGGCTCACCGAGGAGGAGGAGCTTGCGCCGGTCCCCGTAGAGCTCCAGCAGGCCTGTGCAATAGTCCTGGATAGGCAGCCCCAGCCGGTACTCCCGCAGCAGCAGCGCGAACTGTTGGATCTCAGTGGGCCCCAGCTTACTCCGCAACTGTAGGGACACTATTTGGGATCAATCCCAGAGGGCGACCCCCACCCAAGCCCTGCCTAAAAGGCATGAGCCCTCTCTGATGGCCTGTGTAGCCCAGACCTCTCAAAAACCTTCCATGACCTACTGGGGGACATCCGGACTCCCTGGGCTGCATCGAAGAATGGGAAGTGGACTCAAGCTGCCTGAGTTCAAATCCTGGTTCCTTCATTGATCAGCTCTGTGATCTTGGGTAGGTGACAACCTCCCTGACCTCATTTATCTCATCTGCAAAGTGAGAATAATGATGGTCTCCTTCTTGGGTTGTTGAAAGGATTAAAAGAAATGACATCTAAATGGTGGTTAGAACAGTGCCTGATATACAGCAAATGCTCAATTAATGCTAGCTGATATTAGTTACGGCCTTTCACAGGCTGGCTTCAGTTTACTCTCCTAACTTCATGTCCCGTCCTGACTTCTCAGGTTTTATGCTTCAATTATGTCATCCAGAATTACTCATGATTCCTGAAATACCCCCATGTTTTCTCCAGGCTCCAAGCCTTTGCTTGTGCTGTTCGCACTGCCCGCCCAGCTCACCGTGACCATGTAATCCTGCAATTGCTCGAGGCCCAGGCCGCTGTGGTCACTGCCACTGCAGTGGGAGCCATGGAAAGAGGGTGTGGACGTGCCGCTGTAACACGCTTCAAAGGTGTCCTGGGAGCCATTGCTGCAGGGACAGGCAGAAAGGGGCCCTCACTCACCTCCATCCAGCTGCTTTCTCTGTGGTGGGTGGAAGGTGGGAAAGGCACAACTACCAACACTCTGAGCCACAGGCCCCATCCCAGCTCCTACCTAGTCCTCTAGACTACACATTATCTGGCTCCTGGCTACCCCTCAAACTTCCTCTCACCCTTGCTCTTTGTGCTCAGGGCACCCCACCTTCTCCTTTTTCCTCTAGTACTCCAAGTACCTCTTCACCTCTGGGCCTTCGCACATGCTGTTCCTGCTGCCTGAAATACCTCTCTCCCCTACATTTTGTTCAGCTAACTCTTATTCATCATTGGATCTTAAATGTCACTGCAGTAAACTTTTCCCTGATCTGCTCAGACTGGGTTTCACCTTCTGTCAAATGTGGGCACCAAGTCTGTAAGTCTACTCATGACATGCAAGCCTTTCCAGACACTCCCAGAAATATCCTCTTGCTTCAGCCATGGTGGCCTCGTGGCTGCTCCTCGCACACACCAAGCTTTTACTTGCGTCAGAACCCTTGCACTTGCTGTCCCCTCTGCCTGCAGCATTCTTCCCCAGCCGTCCTCTAGGTCTCAGTTCAACTGTCATCAACTCTGAAAGGCCCTCCCAATGCCCCAGGTGAGATAGGCTCCCCATGGCCTCTCAGCACTCTGAGTTTCCCTTTAGTGCTTATTAGCATTAAGGTTTATTTTTATTAACTAATGATTTCATTATCTCCTATGCCAGATTGTAAAACATGCAAGGGCAGGCTTGCTTTCTTCACTTGTTGAATGTCTACCATGTGGCAAGCTCGGGGCTTATCCTTGTCTTGCTCCCTAGCACACAGCACAGTGCCTGGCACAGGATAGGTACTCAATAAATACTGCTTAGTAAAAAGTCAACTTGCTTCCTGGGCCCTAAATTACTCAAGAACCATCTTCTATTATTTCCTACAGAGAAGCAGTACAGTTCAGTTATATTTAAGGCTATGGGCCTGGAGCCTGCCTGTTTGGGATCAAATCCCAGGCCTACAGCCTACTAGCCTGCTTGACCTTGTGCCAGCTGCTTAACTTTTCCATTCCTCAGTTTCTCCATCTGTAAATGGGATGATAAAAATCAGTGTCATGAGAATGAAAGGAGTTAATATTTGTAAAGCATTTAGCGTTGTTGACTATAAGCAATAAACTGTAACTACTGTAATGGTGCTATGTTGATTTATTATAGAAAAATGAAGTGCTTTGTAGAATAGCCCTAGGTACACAGCAAGCTCACGTTAGTCATTATCATGATTTTCATCTCTCCAGCAGATGTCAGGTTATTTAAGGACTGGCCTGAGGGCACACAGTATTAGGAAGGCGAATATATTGCCACTAAAAATGGAGGGTGGGGAAGCAGGGAATATTTCACTGGCGGAGACTGCTATTTGTCACGCCACAGGCCTTAGTAACAGAACTAGGGTGACCAATTAATCCAGTTTGTTAGGCACTTTCCTGGCTTTAGTACTGAAAATCTCATGCCCTCGGAAAACCTTCAGTCCTGGGCAACCTGGGGTGGTTGGTCACACTTAACAGAACCCTGGACAATGTTCCCAACTGATAATTTTTTTTTTAATCCTACATTTTCCAGCCTTTCTTGCAGCTAGTTGTGGCCTTATGACAAAGTTCTGGCCAATGAGGTATAAGCAAAAGCCATCAGGTAGGGATTCCATTCCACCCTGATGAGGGGCCCCTGGCATGCTATTGTGATGACTGGAGCTAAAACCACCATCTTGGTCCATGAGGTACCCTCGAGGGTGAAAGTAAGTGCTGGGGAGGCAGGAAAAGATACACCCGGGCCCCTGATGACTATATACCATGAAATCCTGGTCTGTCTTAGCTAAGAGACAGGGGAGGAAGGCTCTACCTTGCTTAAATACTTTTTTTTTAGAGTTTTCTATTATATGGAGCCAAAACTAGGTAAATGAAAATTATTTGGGGCACTAGCTGTAATTTTTCAACTCTGTAGGCCACTGTGTCTGGATGACTGGGGAAGAACTGCGGCTTATGTGGACCCAGTTCTGGGTTCTGGTTGCCCTCTGGGTTTCTCGGGTCTGGGTCTGGATCCCATGAGTTCACAGAGCTCAGTTTACCTCCCAGCCTCAGGGCCCAGTGTCTCAGCATAAATCAAGGTGGGGTCACTCTCTCCCACCTCTCTTGCCACAGGGGGCTCAAGAATGCCTATTAGAGTGGTCCTGTTCATGCAGGGGTGGTGGGGCAAGAGCAGGGTCCCCAGGGAGGGCAGTACGCACAAGGAGCTGCAGCAGCTGAAGTCGGCGTCATAGGCGTATGTCCCATCTGTGCGACAGCTCTCACCTGTGGCCAGAAGACAGCTGTCAGAGGTGGCAAAGCAGGGACCAACATCCTGGTTCCCTAAGGTCCCAACCCCAGCCCCAGCCCCACCCTGGGGCTAGATGGTGGCTATGGCATCGATGGCCTTGTCAGCAATTATAAGGGTGTCTGCTTTCACTCTGAGTGAAATGGGCAGCCTCTGCAGGATTCTGACCATGATTCCCGACCCTACCAGTTGACCTTGGGCAACTCACTTCCCCTCTCCTGGCCCTCTATTTCCCCAAGGTTGGGACAATACTACCTTCCTGCCTACCTCAATGGGGGTCTTAAGGACAGCACGTGAGGGAACAGGTAAGGTTGTATTTTGTACACTGTATGTGTTTGAATCAAGAAAAAAAAGAACTTTGAGGGGAAGGAACTCAAAATGGTTCCACTTTCAGATACCTTGCTCTGTATATGGCCCTGTCATCTCCGACTCCAGGTATTAGCCTTACCCTTGCTTGGCTCTCTCAGTGTCTCTCTCAGTGTCACTTCCTCAGGGGACTCCCCTGACTTCCCAGGCAAGGCTGGTTCCTCAGACTATGTTCTCATAGCACAGCATGTGGTTACAGATTTTGTGTGTCATTATTTCATTCCTAAGCAATGCCAGTCTGGGGAGGCCAGGGCCATGTCTGGTGTTGCTCACCAGTATATCCTGGTGACTAGCAGGTGCTCAATAAATATTTGTCGATTGAATGAATTTGTTGGAATATTTGTTGAATTATCTCATTTATTTGCCCATCATCCCTGTGAGAGTTGAGGAACTAGTTCCACTTCCCAATAACCACAGCTCTCACAGCTGGGAGTGCCTCTTGAAGGAAAGTACCAGATCCCTGATGCTGGAGCTGTGCAAACAGGGGCCACACTGAGGGGGCCAGGGCTAAGGAAATTCATTAGTGGCCTTGAAGGCAGCATGAGGAATAGGGCTGTAGCAGATAAAGGCTTTAGAAACAGACACACTTGGGTTTGAATCCTGACTCTGTCACTTACCAGCTGTGTGGCCTTGAGCATTTGTTGACTGCTCTGAGCTGTAATGCCCTCATCTATAAAATTGGAATTATAAGGCCTCAGAGAATTTTTTCATCCATTCAAAAATACTTCTTAAGCATCTATGGTGTCTCCCTGGTCCTGTGCGAGGCTGACCAGGTTGCTATGAGGGTTAAATAAGACTTGGCACGTAGTCAGTGCTCAATAATGCCTCTACCCTTGATTGCATTCAAGGACCTGTTTGTAAATCTTGGTTTTGACCTAGAGTCCTAATGAGGCAAGACAGCTCAGTAAACAGACAATACATGTGTTTAGATTTCTGCAAAGCAGGGGCATCAGAAACAGAAGGAAGAGAGAAAAGTCAGCTCTGAGAGGCTTATTCTGAATCTGGCAACCAGAACATCTATAAAGAAGCTAGGGTTGAGGTCACCAGGGAAACTGACATTTTATTTTAACTACATATTGGGGGTATACTCTAATTGCGGTAGAGATCAGGACCCCTAAAGCTTTCGTTGGCTCTGAGTCCTGGGGCATCCCTCCAGCCTTTTGGAAGTTCTCACAGGAGTTGCCAGGATTTTGATTACTCACTGCGGCTGCAGAGCCACGGCCGTTCAGGAGTGGATGTGTAGTGGCAGCCAGCCCGGTCCACACACTCAATGCTCTGGTCCCCATAGATGATCTGGAAGACCTGACAGATGAGGGCACAGGACTCCTCGGCAGCATCCTAGCCCAGAGAGGGAGAGAGAACTCAGGCCCACTCCAGTGACCAGGATGCCCCTGCTTCCTAGACGGTGTGAGGAGGCTCACAGGGCACACATACACTCCTAGAGATGCTTAAATAGACTTTTAACGGCATTTCCCATCAAAATCATATGGCTACTTTCTGGGTCTTGGACTACTATACAAGGTCCAGCGACAACTCTTAACTCTGAAAAATGCACCCCAAATTTCTGGCAATTCACAGGGCCCCTAAAGCTTGTCTAAAATAAGCCCTAAATTAGTTTAATTTACATGTAGGAAGCTGAGGCCCACATAAGTGGTGATCAGCCAGGATTAGAACCTGGGTCTCCTAATACCTACTAGGAGGAAGAATTAAATGTGGAAAATTTAGGTCATATTTAGATATGAGCTTCCTAGTACCCAGGGCAAAAATGGAAGTAGGATGAATACATGACCTTCAGTCTCTGATAGAAGAAAGGAATTTAAGTTTGTGTGTGAAACTTTTTGAGATTACAAATTTGAAGAGGAATTTGCATCTTTAATTTACTTCTTTATGCCTTTAAGTAAGAGACACGGAAAGACAGGGGAGACTAACTTCATAATGCCATTTCCTATTTTGTACCTCAAAAAGCCCAGGGTGTAAGTTAAAATGTAACCCAGGATAGGCATTTTGGGATGGGGAGTGTAATAATCATCAAGCCAGGCTTGATCCTTACAATAACCCTACAAAATGGACAGGGAAGAGTATCCTTATTTTAGAGTTGAAGACACTGAAGCTTAGAAAGTGATTAAGTGACTTGCCTAGGCTCACACAAGTTTACGGCATTGACTAACACTGGCACCCAGGTTGTTTCACTCTAACTCCCATGCTTTCCTTGGGACCATGGTGCCTCAGAGAGGAGGCGAGATACTCCTGGAAAAGAACTCTTCATTTATTTAATGATTCTCATTCACTCCTTATGTGTGGCAGGCACTAGGCCAGGCTCTGGGGTCTCAGAGATAAATTAGATGAGGTCTGTACCCTAAAGTCCTCCAGTCCAAGGGGATAACAGGGTGCACTGTGTCTGCTGACTTCTACCCCTCCTTCACATTTCAGTTTAAAAGGGACAAACTCACTTCTCTACGGAAAATTACTTAGTCTCTGGGTCTCAGTTTCCTTCTCTATAGAATGGGGATGGTTGTGTAACATTTGCCACTAGGGGGTTACCGTGAGAGTGAAGCGTGTTAATACTGGTTCCGTGTCTGGCATGGGTTGGCACTAGATTCCTGCTGGTGATTAGTGTCCTGATTGTTACTGTTGTAGTGCAGACGACATTGGTGAAGGAGCTGGGCTGGACGAGAGGTTAGATCAAGCCTGATAGAGAGCCATTTTGGCTTTTCATCCCATTGGGACAGCAAGTGGGAGGCGGCCTGGGCCGGAGTTCAGAAGCCTTTTGTCGTCATGAGCACATACACACTACAGGTAGAACCTTAAGTCGAAGGTAGGGCCGAAGGAGGGAGAGGCTAGGGTGGACCCCAGGAACCTCATAACCTCGTGAAAGCGCGGGGCTGGGGTGCCCTCGAGCTCACCCTGTTGGCCACAGCCAGGATGACGAGGTTGCAGTAGGCGTCGGGGCTGGGGTCCTGCGGGTCGAGCGGGTTGGTGCCCGGGTGGCGCCGCTCCCAGCTGCCGCCGCCGCCCGCCTGCCTCCGCTCCCAGCTGCCGCCCGGCTTGCCCGCACCGCCGCCGCCGCCGCCGCCGCCGTGTCGCCGCTCCCAGCTGCCGCTGAACGTCTGCCGCCGCTCCCAGCTGCCCGACGCCCGAGCCCCAGCGCGCTGGCGCTCCAGGCTGCCCCCGCCACCGGCCCCGGCCCGGGCCTCGGCTCCCGCGCCCCCGCCCCACGCCATGCGCCAGTCCAGGCTGCAGATGGTGTGGCGCCGCTCCGTGGTGCCCACCCGCCGCTTCTCGGGCGCCGCGCCCGGCGGGCCTGGGTCGCGCCCCGCGCCGCCGGGGCTGGCGTCTACGCCTGCTGGCACAGGATCCACGCCCAGACCTAGGAGAGACCGGGTGCCTTCAGCAGGAGATCCGAACGAAGTGGCCCCTGCGAGGCCCGCTGCTGGACCTGCCCCCGACGCGCAAGGTCCCAGGCCCCACCCCTGACTCCAAATTCTCGCGGCCAGACCCGCCCCCTCGCGGCCTTACTTTTGGCCACTCCCCAAGCCTCAGGCTCCACCCCTGGTTTTGGCTCTGCAGGCCGTTCCCCCTTGCCCAAACCCACTCTGGCGCCCCTTGCCCCAGGACCCGGCGGTCGGCCTGAAGGTGGTGGGCATCCCGTGTGGCTGTCCCATCCCGCTTGGATTCCGACTTTTCCTCAAAGCCGCCCCTGGCCCAGCCCCAACCCCCACCGCTGGTTTGGAGTGGTCTGTCATCTCCCACCTGCTATCCCGCCGTGAGCTCCGCCTCCCCGGGTATGGCCCCGCCCCTCGCCCTAGGTTTCGTGCCAGCCTTAGAGGGCGGCGGTCTCACTCCCCATCAGCACGCCCTTTAACTTTAGTTAAAGGATTCTAGTCTCTGCCCTTCCCAGGCTCCGCCACCTAGCCTCAGGAAGGCGGGTCAGGCCGCCCACCCTTCAACCTCAACCTTGGGCTCCGTGTTCTTGCGTATGACCACGGCCTGCCCCAGCCTCAGGGAATGTGGTCAGGCCTTCTCCGTCACCCTATAATCCAGCCTCAGCACACCCTCACCCCCTGCCCCAGGTCACGCCCATTCCCAAGACAAAACAAAATGTGGGGCTCTTTCTACCCGCTGCTTGTGAGGGTCAGGCCTCCGGCCAGATCCCGCCCTCTGTACCGGTCTTAAGCACCAGCAGGTGCAAAGCGTCGTCCTGCAGGTAGGAGGCGGCAGCGATCTCATGCGTGGGGATACGCAGAATGAGCTCCTCGTTGTCGCGCCAGGTGAGCAGCAGGCAGCGGGCCGACAGGCTGAGGATGCTGTCCTGCTCCGCCGTGGTCTTCAGGGGCAGCTCCTTCAGTTGCTGCGGGGTGGGTCGGATCTCCTGAGTCCCGGGGGGCCTCGGGTGGGAGAGAGAGTTGGGGACAAGACCCTTCCCCAGAGCCTCACCCTGGCCGTGTCCAGCAGCTGCAGGAGCTCGTCCCGGCTGGAGGGATTCAGTGAGGAGGTGACCCAGGTGAGGTGGCCCAGGAACTGGATGGAAATGGGGAGAGGAGAGGGATGGTGAGAGAGGGCAGAGAGAGGTCACCCTGAAGCCTTGGAGGACCCTGACCTCCTCACTGGCTATTGCAGGGTAGACTGAGATAGAAATATCTGACTTAATATAGGAACCTGGTAATAATGGTTATTAAGGCGGTCATAGAAGCCAGACACCGTCCTGAGAGCTTTATGCACATTCACTCATTCATATTCACTTTAAGGATGAGAAAACTAAGGCACAGCAAAGCTCAATAACATGCCCAAGATTATAGCTAGAAAGGGCGAAACTGCCCTCCCCATACACCAGAGCCACGCTCTCACTGCTGGCTTACGGTGTCTAAACACAGTTATTTAACTATGCCCGAGGCAAGAGTTACAATAATAGCTTCAAACAACCCACCACCTGTGAATTCCCATTGGGTCTGAGTGGCTCTGTCCTCCCTAAGCACCAGTTGTTAACTATTCAAGTCCTTTGTCTTCTTTATGATCTTGTAGAAGTTCAATGGAAAGGGTAGAATGCTACATCGAATCAATATATAATTTTGGCAGAAAAATGACGCTCCAGATCAATAAATTAATTTTTTATTTATTCTTAGTTATAACTTGATGTTGTTACTTAAGTGTTATTAAATGAAAGAATCAACTTTTTTCATTATTTTTAGTTTTATTCTTCTAGGTGAATTCCACCAATCAAATATTTTTTCTTTTTATTCTTTATGAAATTTCAGTCCCCAATTTTTAAGTGATTTGTTAGCTTTTCCCTTCATAATAGGGTTGCCAGATAAAATACAAGATGGCAGTTAAATTTGAATGTCACATAAATAACAAATACTTTTTTAGTTTGTATTTTTAGTATTTTTAGTCTCACGCGATATTTGGGACACATTAATACTAAAAAAGTTCTCCTTGCTTATCTGAAATTCAGATTTAACTAGGAAGCCTGTTTTTTTGTAAATCTGACACTCTTAACCCCCATATCAATATTCTTTGGGTAATGAGGATTCTCCACTCCTCCTTCACGGTGTTCACGAAATAGAGGTAAAGCCCTTGAGAGGTCTGTGGCTTGTTGACCTGGGTTCCTTTAACCTGCACACTGTCTGAGTAGCGAACAATGTCTCTGTAGTAAAACTTCACAGGAAGTATGCCCTTCTCTGGGAGTAAGTTTTGAGCCCCATGTTGACACAGGAACACTGAGGCTGAGCAGGTGGAGTTCACTTGCTGAGGGTCCCCAGCTTAAGTCAGGGGTGAGGCTGGCTGGAACTCAGGCTCTATTCTGAGCCTCCCCTGTGTGACACAAGGCTGGTCAGGGTTTGGTGTGGAGGAAAGGTAAGGTCTCTCCCAGTAGGGTCCAGGACACAATATCCCAAAATATGGCACCATGGCAGAGTGAATATCTTAAACTGAAGGAGTTTGAGAAAATGGCAGAAATGAGGTCACTCTGACTCCACCCACCACCTTTCTGCCCTGAAAGCAGGAGATACATCTCCCACGTGACAGGTACCCTGCCTGTACCAGGAGGGAGACATCCTTATCACCGGTGACAGGAAATTTAGGGCCAAGAAGGCTGTATAAACAAACCATGTTACTCCACCACTTACCACCCTGCAGCCCAAACCCCTCTGCCTTGTCAGTTCTTCACAAATGTATTGTTTCTTTATCAAAAAGATATAAAAGCTTCCTGCTCTGGTCCCTCCTGGGGGTCTTCATTCTCTTGTAGATGTTCCCGTGGATATGTACAAATGTAATAAAGTGTGTATGCATTTCTCTTGTTAATTTGTCTTTGTCAGCTTAATTTTCAGACCTAGCCAGGGGCCCTAAAAGGGTCAAGAAAACTATGCTCCTCACCCCAAGATTCTTTCCATCCCTTCTCCTCATCCCGCACGTACCTTGACCTCTTTCTCCAGGTAGTCACACAGCAGAATCTGGGGGTCGATGAGGTAGTCAGGGGGATAAAGGGGCATCGAGTGCAGGGGCCGGCGGCTCACACTATTCCGAAAGGCTGCCCGGCGTCCAGACTTGGGGAACACCAGCCTCCGGATGGGGGAGACAAAGCCCTGGGGAGTATGGGGTGTGTGGGGGAGGAGTAACAATAATACCAGCAACTGACTTTATCCAGAATTTATATGCCCAGCATTTTACTTATATTATCTAATTTAATTATCACAAAAACAAACAACAGCAACAAAAACGGGTACCTCTGTGATCCCCATTTTACAGATAGGGAGGAATAATACAGATAAGCCTCAGGAAGGAAACTAGCTGATAAGGTCACCAGCTAGTAGCAGCAGAACCCATAGTGCAGGCTGGCTCCAAAGCCTTCTTTCTGAGCATCCAGGTGAGGATGCAGGCCCTGCAGGGCCCAGGCCCAGGTGAAAGGGATGGGCCCAGGCTAGGGCAAATAAGAAAAATATTAAGATTCAGTGTGGCTGGGCGTTGGGTGCTTAGGTATTTGTTAAAGCTATCTCTGTGCTTTCCTAAAAATTAGAAATAGTTAATAAGTATATTTAAGTATAATCCAGTAGGCACCTACATAAAATGGCCTGAAGCAATGTTAAAAGAGCAAATCCCGGGCCCCAGCCCAGTCCATCAGGTTCTGGATCTCACGGGAAAGTTTGAGCACTACTCCAGGGCAGCGGATCTCACCACCACCACCAGCAGCAGTATCCTGGGGACTTAAGAGAAATGCCCATTCTTGTCCTCCATCCAGACCTAGTGCATCAGATCCTGGGGGTGAGGCCCAATGATCTGTGGTTTAACAAGTGCTCCAGGTGGTTCCCATGCACGCCCAGCTCATGCTTAACAACCAATATTCCGGGGCTTGGATGGAGTCTCTGGAAGCTCTGAGAAATGAGAACAAACATCTGGGAAAGGGCATTCCCAGCAGAGGGCACAGCATGTGCAAAACCCTGGAGGCTGTAAGGGCTGGATGAGCATGAGCCTGGAGAAGATGTATGTCATCTGTTGTGGCTGAATTAGGAGATGAACAAGTCATAAAGGGCTTCATCCTATGTAGGTGAGTATGTGTGTATATACGAGTAGAGTGGGCAGGTAAATGTTTTGTCTGTGGCCCCAGCCCTGCCCACTTCTCCAGCCTCATCTTACTCCCCCACCCCCCTACCCATGGTTGCCACTCCTACCTTCCAGCTACAAGGCCATCTTTCAGTCCTTCCTAGTTGCTACATTTCTTCCCACCCTGGGGCTTTTGCACATGCTGTTCTCTGTCTAAAACACTCTTCTGTGCCCTCTTTCCTTCCACTCCTACAGATTTCAGCTCAGCCTGACCAGTCTAGGGCTAGGTCCCCTAATATTCTGTCTCCCAGTATTATGTATGGAGACTTTCATGCAATTTTACATTCATTGATTAAAATAAAAATTAATAGTTGCCTCCCCTGTGAGCTCCTGGGAGGGAGCAAGGATGTGGTCTGACTTTGTTCACCACTACATGATCTCCAGCACCAAGCAGTGCCTGACACATGATAGGTGCTCAATACATATCTACAGAAGGAATGAACCAAGAGAGCAAACACCCAGGTCTTGGCTCCCTCTGAGCCCCCATGATTCACATGGGAGCCTCTGTGCACAGCCTGACCCAGGTTTCCTGAGGAAAGAGGGTGCGGTTGGGGGTGGGAGTGGGAGTCAGAATGTGAGGGGATTCCTAGACTGCAAAGACCACCAGGTGAGATGACCAGAGAACCAGACCAGCAAACTTCTGAGAGTCAAGGAGGGGTGAGGATCTATAAGGCAGGGAGCAGTGAGGACATGACCCCCAGGCCGTGGCTTTAGGAGCAGAGCTGGTCCTTGTACAAAGATGGGGAGGAGGCAGGCTAGGTTGGAACCCAGCAGGCGAGCAGGTAGGTGTCTCAAGCCTGGAAAGGCAGCCTCATAGCACAGAGTTGCCTTGTCTAGGGAGGTAGGGAACAGGGGGCTGGGGCTGTCGGGTGTCTCTTGGTCTGAGAAGCTGCAGGAGGGAATCCCCAGGAGCACCAGGGAAGCATGGTGAGAGTATCTCCCCAGCTAACCTGTCTGGCCGAGTTTCCCTGGAAGGTGCCTGTCTGTCCGTCCACTCCAGGGATGGCAGAGACCACTGAGAGTGGGGGAACGGTTTAGGGAGTGTGGATCCCAAATGTCTGGCTGCCCAAGGGTGGGGAAGAAGGTCCTTCCAAGTGAAAAGAAAGATCCTACTTATGCCACTTGCTGCTCATCACCCCCACCCCAGGCTTCCCTCTTCCCCAGGTCTGGGGACATTTCTCTCCCTGCATCCCTCCCGACCTCCCACCTACCTTTTTCCCTTTCTTGACTTCATATTCCATGGTGAAGCGTCCCCTCCACTCCTGCCACCCTCTTGGCCACCCCCTCCCTCTTCCCCTACACAGTTCTTTGTTCTTTTTCCTGCCTGGTCGGAAACTCCACCAGCCCGGAGTTCCTGCCCCTCCCATCTGATAGTGAGCAGAGGTTTGGGAGTGGGGGGCGGGGGGTGGAGAACACAGCCTTGGAACCCTCCAGCTGGAGAGAGGACCCCCCTGGCCAGAGAGGCTGGCCTGAGGACGAAGCATCAAGGCTCCAGCTAAAAGGCCTGCTATCAAAGGGGCTTGCGAGTTCAGTAAGGCTGGGAACCAGTTCCCTGAATTTGGAGGCAGAAAATCACAGATTCCTCCCCTACTACTACCACTGACCTTGCTGTGTGGCCTTGGCAAGGCAAGTCAGTTCCCCCCTGTCACAGCCTCAGTCCCTCTCCCCTTCTATAAATTGGAAGCAAACATTGCCTCCCTCTCTGGGCTGCTGTGGTGAGAAATAAATGAAAGAGTGGGTGGGAAAATGCTTCATAAGCTGTAGAATAATGTGTCCAAGCAAGTTATGATTTAAAAAATTAATCATTACTATTAAGGGAGGCAGTGTGCATGAGCTGCAGAGACAGGCTTCCTGAGTTTGAATCCCAGCTTTGCCACGTACTAGACTATGACCCTGGGAAAGTCCCTAACCACTTGGGCCTCGGTTTCCCCATCTATAAAATGGGCACAATACCAGTCTGCCTTTATCATTAACTTGTAAGATTAAATGCACCTAGAAGAGCTCCTGGCACATATGAAGAGCTCAATAAATATTAACTATTTACTTATCTATGTGTCTGTGTGTCCTGGGCTGGTTTACTGTCCCTTGGGAGAATATTAGGGAGGCAAGTTTCCCTCTGTGGTTCTGTGCTGAGCACTTGACATATTTCATCTCACTTATTCTTCATTATGTTGCGGTACCATTATTACACCTATTACACAGATTTTAAAAACAGGCTCAACTGCAGCGGCTGACTGAAGGAGGTGACATAGTGAGTACAAGGAGGACGTGGGGTTTCTACCCGGCCTGGATTGAAGCCTCGTTCCTTGCCTTTAGGGCCATGTATTCTGTGTGTCTCACTTAGGACAGTAGGAAAGGTTCTATTGACACATCCCCACCTTGCAGTGACATCTGGGTTCTGGAGAATCAAGTTTGGGAACTGATTTGTTGTATGATCCAGGGCAGGTTGTAATGTCTCCGGGTCTCAGTTTTCTCATCTTTCAACAACAATCCCCAAAGCCCTGCTGTGCAGTCGGAGGTGTGGCGAGCAGGACATTAGGCTATGGATGAGAAGGCAGCTGGAAACTATGAAGTGCAGGGGTCAGTGCCTCAGATTGTTTGAAGGTTTTCACCTGAAAGTGCGGGTGTGCCAGGTCAGTGGCTGTTGGAGTAAGGGCCAAGCTCCCCGCTGCCTCTGGGTGTGAGGGCCACAGGAGACTCCCAAACACTAGCCTTCCCGCTTCTTCCTTTCCTCCCTCCTTTGAGGGAGGGAAACGGCCCAGGCTGCTTAGGGCAACTCACACAGCGACTCCCTCCTGCTCTCCCACATCCTGCCGGTCACCTCCCAGGAGCAGGAAGTGAGATCTCCACCAGCTGACCAGCCAACAGGAAGAGGCCAGGATGTGCCACCCAATTCCTGACTGCTCTGGACATCAAAACTCCCACTTAACCCTTTGAGCAATCCCGAGTTCCCACCCTCAGAGTGGCAGCAGGGAATAAAAAGTGGTTTCTTGCTCTGCCCCCTCCAAGACTAGCTTTCTCTCTTTGAGCCTTGGTTTCCCTTCCTGTGAAATGAGGACTTCTACTATTCCTGAGCTAACTCCAAACATCACTGAACTGCTAGGAATCTCAAATAGGACAAGTAGTGTTCCAAATGCCACAGGAAATAGCAAACTATGTATTCCCCACAGTGACCACCCCAGGGCCATGAATAAATCAAGAGCTTAGGAAGTATCAGTGGGTGGTGACTGATAGACCAAGTTCATTTGTGCATGACCTTGAACAGGTAGCACATCCCCCAGGGCTCCGGAGTTTCATGTGTCAAAAGCAGAATAATGATGGGTTTTTTGCTTCAGAAGGCTGCTGTAGGATTAAAAAGGAACAGAAGCATACAATGCTAGCATTTATTATTAAAATTAGCTTGTGAATCAAAAAAGATGAATAAAACAAAGTCCTTGTTTCAAATAGGATTCATCTCTTTTGAGCCACTTTCTGTTAATTGACTGGGGCTGCTTGGAGCTCTGCAGAGAGGATTATAAAAACCAGATCTAGTCCCAGCAGGAAAAGGGATTGATTATCAATGCTTGCCATGGGATAGGAGGTGGGAATGTGGCAGCAGGTGTACAGTGCATATGCTCACCCTGATCTGGTTAGAGAGAAAGACATATAAACAAAAATTCTGATACAGGGCAAGTGACTTGTTTTGGAGAAGGCAGAATCAGGAGCCAGGCCTTGGAGGGCATACAGAAGGAAGCTCACTCTAGGTAGAGGGAACAGCTTGGGCAAACACACAGTGCCTGATCTGCGAAGCTTATGGCTGCAAAGTCTAGACTACCTGATCAAAGTTGGCTCTCTAGATAAGGACACTAGACTGCCTTTCAAGACAAGAAGTCCAATGGTAAGTGATTTCAGGGCTGGTTACTTGAGTAACTTCAAATTCCTTACATTTTCTACTTTGTTGCTGTTCCGAGCTAACTTGTGCCCACCGACCCATTCAAATTTACATGTTGAATCCCTAACACCCTGTATTTCAGAATGTGGTTGTTTTGGGAGATAAGACCTTTAAAGTTGGTTATTAAATTAAAATGAGGCCATAGCATGGGCTCTCACTAATCTGTCTACTGTCTTACGAGAAGAAGAAATTCAGACACACAGGGAGATACCAGAGCCAGGCACACACAGAGGGAAGACCATTGAGGACACAGCAAGAAGGCAGCCATCTGCAAGCCAAGGAGAGATCCTCAGAAAAACCAACCTGCGGACACCTTGACCTCAGGGTTCCCGCCTCCAGAATTGTGAGAAAATACATTTTCATTGTTGAAGTCACCCAGTCTGTGGTGTTTTGTTACAGCAGCTCTAGCAAACTAATACCACTGGCAAGGTGCCTGTGGTGGCTTTGGGAGTAATAAGGACACAGTGTCATCCATTATCTGCTTTGGATGCCATCAGCCCTTGATGAGGCCAAGGATTTCTCATTCTTGTGGGTCTTTTCGTTGTGAAGTAAAACCTTCCCCAGAGATTCTTTGAAAGACTTTCCTTAGGAATCTCAAGGCCAGGTGTATCAGCCAGGATATATTTGGGCTGTGACAAAGACATAAATAACAGGGGCTTACACAAAATAGAAGTCTATCTCTTCTATCACATAAGCAGTCTAGGGCAGGTATGGCAGCTCCATGTGTTCAGGACTTGGGGGCTTCCTATCTTGTTTCTTCACCATACAAGTTTTACTTTCAACTTCTAGATGGCTCTCCACATAGCTGCAGTCCAGCCAGTAGGAAGGGTAAACAAAGGTTGGGAGAGCACAACCTCACCCTTTAACGGGATGATCTGGAAGTAGCACAAAGTTCTGCTCAAATCCCACTGGATAGAACTTGTTTCCATAGCCACACCTAACTGCAAAAGAGGCTGGGAAATGTAGTCTTCTATTCTGATGGCCATGTGCCCAGCTAAAAATTCCTGTACAGAGAAAAGGGAGCTGGATACCAGGGAACACATAGCAGTCTTTGCCTCAAAGAATTGAATCACATGTCCCTGTGCCCACCAGTCCTCAGTCAGGGAAATTATCTTGGGCTCATGGTTCTCAAATTTGGGTGTGTACCAGAATCACCTGAAAGCCTATAAATATATGGTGCTCTCCACACCCATGGTGGCTGATTCAGTAAATATGGGACCTAAGAATGAGCTTTTCTAACCAATTTTCTGGTGATGCTGGTCTGGGCACCACACTTTGGGAAGCACTGTTTTAGACCAATTGTGACTTACCTTCTGGGGCAGGTAGGGGCTTCATTCCCTGAGACGTGGGATGGGAACCCTTAGGAAATGGGGCTCTACCTACATGAATGATGTGAAAGACCATGGGGTAGCAACAAGGAGAGGCTTATGGAAACAGGAAGATGGGTGGTTTAGAAAGTCTCTGAGGGCAGGCAGGGTAATGTTGGAGATGAGGATCAAGAGGTATCTTGGGACCTGGTTGAGAAAAGGCATCAGGCAAACGGTTTAATCTTTATCTTGAAGGCCCTGGGAGCCACGGGAGGTTCTAAAGCAAGGGAAGATCGTGGTCAGATTTGTGGAAGGATGCATTAAAGCAATGGTCCTCAAAGTGAGGTCTTCAGACTCCTTGCACTCGAATTCCCTGGATAACCTTTAAAATGCAGATTCCCAGGCATGCTCTATCCATCCTCTGGTTCTGGAGATGGAAATCTTCACTGAAAACAAGCCCCCTCCACCCCAAGTGATTCTGATACCCTTTTAAGCTTGAGAACCACTGGATTAGAGGGTGGAAACCTTGGGGGCAGGGACATTTTTTAGGGGCAATACCCTCTAGAAAGTAAGGTTCAGGAGGGGGACCATGCCTGTTTTATATCGTTCTTGTTCACGGTGCCTAGAAGAGCGTCTGGCACATAGTAGGTATTCAGTAAGTATTTGTTTTAGTGGCATTAGAAAACTGCAGTCTGCGTCCTGATTTTGTCATAGACTCATTCTGTGACCTCTGGCTAGCCCCATCTCTCTCGCTCTCTTTTTAAAATTTATCTGTAAACGAAGAGTTTGAGTTCGGAGATAATCCCTAAAACCTTGGGGTGGGGGTGTGTATGTGGGCGGGGGGAGGGGAGTGGGTGTATTCCGGCCGATTGATTGAGGCTCTTTCCAATCAACAGGGAGCTTTGTATAACGTCCTGTTCCCGCCCAGATATATGCCTTCTTTTTAAGGAGTTTCAGGGATTGTGGCAGAGGGTATCCCCCTCCCTCCCAGAACAGCCAAAGCAATAGGACACCAACAGCATATACTGAAATGATTTTTAATATCTCATGT